TACTTCAACTACCTCCATACATTCAGTAAAAACGAATTTCATAAATTGCGACAAATTAGACTTTGAAATTTCTTTATCGACCGCATCTACATTCATGAAAATGCACAAATAACGAACCTAGCCTCAGGCTTAAATCCATTTCTGAAACAAAATGGATAATTTGCATGCATACTCGAACGAATTGGTAAGAATATTAATGAAATCAATAGAGTTCAATTTATTTCAAGACTTCATTACAATCCATTCTATAACACAAAAATGTACAAAAGAGAATAAATTGGCGTTTCCGTAACTGTCAGTGATTTTTTTAAGTGTAATCAGTAGTTTCTTTGCTTATGTCAGATCATTAAGGGCAGAAAATTTGTTAAATTACCGAATGAAGAAATTAACTTTATACAACATCAAATGACTAAAAATAAAGCTAAGGGTGGAGAGGCTATGGGTATCCAAGCACCTGCCACTCGTCGAGGTCACATCAAACCACCTGCGCTGCGAGCTCCGAAACTAGCGCCGGTCTTCCGCGTCTTGCACGTCAGAATCGAACGGTGCCTTCAATGCATCTATATATATCTGGTAATATTCATTTTAATTTTGACTGTTTGATAAAACTATGGTCACTTGTTAGCAATTACTTTGACAGTTTGATAACTTGTTAGCAATTACTTTAGTAAAAGTTACAAATTGGAACAGGGCACTTAATTTGATTAAGTTGACCGACTTCTCACGTCTTGAAGTCACGCTGATAAAATCAAGGATAAATTTGAAATCGTTTCAGTTCGTTCTCATTGAGTGGTGACGTTTAAGGTTGATTATAATTTTTAATTAAACGGAATATTTGTACACAATTCGTTTTGTTCCTTTTTGTGTTCTTTTCAACATACGTCTTACTCCAGGCAATGAACAAGAAACGCTACGCCCACTTCATCATTTTCTTTAATGAAGAAGAACGAGCTGACCAAATCGCCAATCATCATAACAATGGGCAGGCGCTAACTCCGTCTCTTTGCAAGACCTCGTATTGATAGTTCAATTACTTTTCGAACTGCTAGCTACGACTCGCTGCATTTGGTCACAAATAAAAATAAGCATAAAAAATAGAATACATTCGATTGCCAAAAATGAAAAACGATTTGAAATGAAGTGCCTGTTTCTCAGTTTTTATTTTTTTCTGTGGCTCAAGTACGGATGTTTAAAAAATTTCAATAATTAAAAAATATAAATTATATTATAAATAAAATACATATTTATGTAAATTTGGGTTCCTTATCAGTTTCGGGCAATGCAATTGCATTAATTTTGCCCATAGTAACTAAAATAACTATGCCCGTTGTTGGTTGAATTTGATAATGCCCCGGACATCAACATCCTTCGGATTTTGTCTAAAATGTTTTCTTTTTAAACATTATACTGAAGTTTCCACTTCAAAAGGCAACTTAGAATTGGTGCCATATATTCTTCACAGTAGGTATGAAAATTTATCTATTCGGCCAAGAACCAATCCAGTTTCGTATTTTCTTCCTAAAATCGGGACATTTCGTGGATCGGAGTAAGAATGGGTATTTGCCATTGTTCTCGGGAGGTAAATGTCCGTGGAGTTGGTGCGAACGGGCAATCACTCATGTCACGCCGGCCCGACACTGACAGATGTCGCTCGCTAACTTCAAGCCGTTCTCATCGATTGCTTGAACTTCTTTTGGGTCGATGAACAGTCCAAAAATGTGGTCAAATAAAAGTTATTTTCTACTTTGATTCATCCGCGTACAATACAATGTAGCAGGCGCATGTATTGACCGTCTTCTGTCGTCCCAAATGTTTTGAAGATATTTCATAGCATACTGTAGATTCACTTCACTTTATAACTGGACTACAAAATTATTTGAAAATACTTTCTACCATCCAAAATTATAGGTAAAATCCTAACACTTTGAAGGATTATTTGTGCAACCTTCATAATTACCTTGTATGATTCTATGAAAAGCCTTTTTTCTTGATTCTTTGCCGAACCTCAATTCATTAGAGGATTCCTTATAAATCTTCACACCTAACAGGATTCTTTGTAAAATCCTTAAACCTTACATGATTCTTTGTGCATTTATTCATTACATGATTATTTGTCAAAAAATTAGACGTTACAGAATAATTTTTATAACCTCTATATCTTACAGGATTCATTAGTAAACGTTTGTACCTCTACCTGTACCTCCTATACCTCTTACCTCTACCTCTATCAGTGTAGTGTTCATCCGCAAATGATCGATGCGGAAAGAAATTTTCTTTTAATTAGAATTAGGCAGTGGAGAATTGAAGCAATTATTTAAATAATTGCTGCACTTTACGAAAGCATCTCCCATCGCACGAGGTCGATGGTCATAATGATAAAATCCGTACGTAGGATTATCATTGCAAATGATTGTTTCTAAATTTTCAGTGGAGTGCGTGATTGCGTTAAAATTTTAATTATGCTTAACTGCAACAAAAATAAATAAATATAAAAAATATTTAAAAAAAAACACGTTTTTCTGGTTTTTACAAAACTAAAAATAGTGAAATAAAACAAATAAAAAAAACTTTTAAAAACCACGTTTTCTAAACGGACAAAAAAGGAAAACATTTACTCTTATATAACATTTAAGTTATGTAAAACGTTATGTAATGTTATGTAAGAGTAAATGTTTTTCTTTTTTGTCCGTTAAGAAAACGTTTTTTTTTTTATTTTTTTTTTTGGTTTTATTTCACTATTTTTAGCTTTGTAAAAACCAGAAAAACGTGGTTTTTAAAAATATTTTTTATATTTATTTATTTTCTACTTTTTAGTTAGCAATTTTAGCCATTCAAATCAATTTCCAGCTAGGGTTGGCAAGTGTGGATGTTCAAGAAAAAACTTAATTACAAACCGTGAATTTTTAGTGTTTTTTTTACTTTTCAATTAAAAAAATTTTCTTACTTATTATTTCTGATGACCAAATCTTGAATTGTTAGGCAGCATAAACATACATGCCAAATTTCAACTTACTAGGATGTTTAGAAGTACTCTAAATTAAGGTTTGAATTTTTGATGACAGACACACACGAAACGAAGTCAAGAAAAACGTGGTAAAATGTTTTGTTTGATAGATTGGAACATATTCATTGTATAATTAAATTCCATGCATTTCCTAGAAGTCTCCTTGCAGATATGTTGCGACCACAGAGAACCCACCTCCCCCTAATTATTATCATAAGTTGCAGCATCATCAGCTGCAGTAGCATATTTGATCATCAAACATTTTCTTTGATGAACCTGCTTACAATTGATATTTTTACCATTATATACTAACTGACGTTACCTTTTCAGCACACATTTGTCAATTTTTAATTCAGTAGCTACAGAGAAATTTTCAAGAGAAGCTGATTGTATAAAATACACAAGCTTTGGTCCATTCATTTGATTGCAAAGGAAGTTGTAAAATGTTTGAGTTCACAACTAGCGTTTATTGAGTCAAGAGGCGCTGATGAACCTGTCGATCAATATCAGCGTGTTAAACGAATGAAACTTCACCACGTAAATGTTCTAACTTAAAAAAATCAAGAAAAACGTTTGACCGGTGGAACGAAATTGCTACAACATGAAAATTACTTCAAAACAATTACTTAAAACATTTTGTTTGGAGAAAGCAGGAGCTTGAGTCCATGATCGGAGATTTAATGTTAATTATTATGTAAATAGTTTTCTGTCAAACACTTTCACCGAGTTATCACATCTAACGTAGAAATGAAGAGTAAAGAAAACTCAACATTTCTTCGGTTGCAGTGCGGAAAATTTTTTGCAGTAATAGCAGCACCGTCGCAAGTTCATGACTTTTTGGAAATCAAAGCAGGGCAGATCACTTTTCATACAAAATTATTGGTTCAAAATGGGAAGGAGCTCCACCATTTTTATTCGTTAAGATCACCACAACTTTGACATTGATTTGAACGGCTTAGCGTTGTGAAAGTTGGAAGCTCCCTCGCACATCGCACGAGCGAAACGAAAGCGGCGTGAGGGTGGGTGCTTCATCGACCGAAAGCTGTGCATTAAGCATGAGGGTCAACTTTGAGAGATGTACCAAATGCAGACTAATACTTCTTGACACTGCACTGCACATATGCCAGTGTTTGAAGACTGAAAATGCGGACTAAAGCTTCCTGATACTCGGCTACACATGCAAGAGTTCTTGTTATAAGGTAGTCTGCAGACGCTGACTTCATACACCCCACATATCTGAAAAATTAAGCTGGAGAGGTAGACTTAAACTATACTTCTCGTTAGTAAATTGTACAATGTACTGTACATCCCTGAATATTTGAAGCCGAAGATCGAGGTATATTTATACTTCTTGGTAGTTAGTCTTACATCTCTGAATATTTGAGTCTGAAGAGGCTGACATTCCTAAGAATCACATTCGTAAAAACACAAATGTTTTGAATCCATTTACGATTGTAAACGGCCACCAGCAAGATGCAAATTATAGTCTTTTGACTCTTTACATTATACAGGTATTCAAATATTATTGGGATACGATTTGATTCTTAAAGGGGTTTATTGTGTTCCTTGAACATCATCATTCTAAGCATTTAGTATGAGTAAACATTTTCGTCAAAACAACCTCATGTCTCAGGGCGTCTTTTTTGGTACAATGACCAACGCGTCGCGAATCACAATTTCATTTCCTGATGTCTCAAACATGATTATCACTTCAAATACTTCTTTATATGCGTATTTTTCCTACACTTCTTGCAACAATAGATTGCAAGAAGTACTTATTCATTAAGCAGGGTTACAACCAATGGCTCGAGTTACCTCTAACTCATAATTGCATCCATGTGTATAATAAATTAAAATTTTAAAACGTTGGACTTTGCTACGGAATAACACTAAGTTTGACTTCAACAGATATTCATAGTGATGGTTGAGTTTCCAAATGAAACTGAGAAGCAGCACTTCGGTAATCAAACTTTTTTTTCTTTGAAATACGTGGACGAAGCTCAGATGAAAATCGAAATTAATAAACAATAATATCCATAAACAAACTAGCTTGTCAAAGTTCTATTCATAATTAAACGTATGAAACAAAGTAATGCTGGAAAATTTTCATATGGAGGTTGAACATTGAAGTTGAGACGAAATGTCGGAACTGAACCGAAGTCTGACTGAGATGGAGTGGCTGCCTCGACTGAACGCCAGACGCGCCATCACCGAGGCCGCGGGCTCCTGGCTGGACGGTTCGAGCTGCTCATCGTCACAGTGTAAATGGATAAATTTAAATATAGAAACAATGTAAATGAATAAATTTAAATATAGAAACTGTGTAAATTAATAAATAAATATATCAGTGTAAATAAATGTATAAATAGATTATACTCCTACCCATTCACTTATATTTATAATGCACTTTATTGGTAAATTAGGTATGGAAGTCGCTTTGAAGTAAAATTTATGGTGTTAATGTTATTTATTCCAATAGGGGAAGGAATTTTATGAGGAACCCTAAATGTTGGAGTAAAGTTATAAGGGTACTTGAGATTGAAGAATAAAAAAATAATGGTCTGGATCTCAGGATTATAAATTTTGTGTATTTGTTGTAAGGTCATCGATGTACTTTAGTTGCATCTTCATTATGTCATCCATACTCCTAATTGTCATCATTAGTTGGTAGTGAGGAATAAAGTAGAAGTCTTCAGTCTCACAAACATTTCTAAACATTTCGTGCCGTGTACTTGGGTTACTATCTATCACTATCACCATAATTACTCTTGATAATGATAATTGATAACTATTTTTTATCCCATCTGCTAAGGCTTAGAACCGTTGGAACCTAGCGGAAAGGAGGTCGACAAAGATAGAGCGGATGAATTTATTCAGCCTGCAAAGTCGTATCCGCCAGAGCTCGCGTCGCAAGCACCGGACTCGTCTACCCCGCCCTCTCCCCCACACAACAGAAAACCTGCCTACAGGTATATAACAAATACATGGACCAATAATTAATAACTTAGATTTCATATCTCGGAGCAGGTATTTCTGACATTAACTATTTGAGCGCGTGTTTATCCGAAATTCAATTGTAGAAGGGTCTAAATACGGACGCAAGATAGCGCTCCGTCATACCCACACATAACAATGGTATTGTTGTTTAAAATATTCGTACAAAAAAATTCAATGATCCCAACTGAACTGTTACCTAAACACTAAGTTGAAACACATCTTTGTTATTCGTAAATGTGCTGCACCAACATTGGTTAGTTTCGCATGTCATTTGTCATGAACGCCAGCAAAACTGTCCACTTCAGATTGAGTTAAAAAGCGCACACATCGAATGAGCTTCACATTTCGAAAATTAGCATAACTTGTGCGAAAGTGATTGTTGTCGTCTCTCTACTCCAATGCATATTCGGTAGAATTAAAAAGCTGTAATTTATTTATTTGTTCCAGCTATGCAACTTTAGTAACGTTCGCAATTAAGAGTAGCGAGAAGAAAAAGATGACACTGGCTGACATTTATACATGGATAACGGATAACTTCCCGTACTATAGAGTGGCAACCACGGGGTGGAAGGTGAGAAAAGATCTTTTTGTCCTCATAAAATGTTGATAAACTGTTTCAAAATATACAGGTTGGGGTTTGCGGAAAAAACTTCAATTGTGACTTATGTCAACTAAAGTTGTATTTAAAATGTCTATCCAAAAGAAATGCGGAGATTCAGAAGAGAAGTCACTGACTGCAATCTAAGATACTTAAATTGTCTAAATTACTGAGAATATAAGTACAAAAAGCAACATAATGGAGGATTATCTTTGTTGACCACCTTTCAGAATTCGGTTCGCCATAATTTGTCGTTAAACAAATGCTTCCGGAAAGTTGCGCGTACAAAAGACGACCCTGGCAAAGGTTCGTACTGGGCTCTGGACCCTGATTATCCCCCTGAAGATTCATTCACTAAGAAGAAGAAGACTCCAGTCCAAAGAGTAAGTCTCGAGAGTTCGTAAGTCAAACACATTCCAATCTTGTAGAAATGATCATTTTCATGGGTTGTAATGGTTAAATATTCGCGGAAGTTTCACTGCGGGATGTTTTCTTATCGAATATTACACACATTACTTAAGCTAGCGCGTGAATACTTTCAGATATGCATAAACAAACTCTATTTATTTTACAGTATCATCCTTTCCACACACCGATTAATTCTACGGATCGACTCGGGCCTTTGAGATGTCTGTCGTTTCCCTCTTCCCCTGCCTCCGTTTCAGGGCGCACCTCTACACCCCTTAACAGCGTTTCTCCCAACGCAGCAGCCTTGGTGGTCGCGAGCCCGGGGAATCCAGCCACACCACCTCAACCACTGAAACATGGAGCTTCAGATTATTATTTTGTAGAACAAACAACTTCATTGCACAGTTCTCCCAACTCTCAAAATAATACTAATTACATTGAAGGTGCCAATAATGAAACAGTAGGACCTCGGCGAATGATGGACTGCATTGACCAGAATAGCACGTCATTGACCGAACATTGTACGCCAGAAATTTCAATATCCTACGATTCATCCCGTGCAAGAATCAATGGAGACTATGAAAACTGTGCCATTCCGTGCTCCAGTATACAGTTGCTCGAAAATAGAACTACCTTGCTGAAAGCAAACACAGATTCGCTATCAAACGAGTCCCTTAACTTGATATACAACTCTCAGCAGCTGGAAGTTTCTGGCGCTTCACTACCTCCACTCTCCCCGGTTGCTTCAACACAACAGCCAATCACGAGTAATTCGCAATTTACACAAGGCGAAATGCTTCAGCATCAATTTGAATCAGGACTATACAATGGTCATGCATACCAACAATTTCAGCAGCAGCAAGTTGAGCTGCTTTATAAACAACCATTTAGTCAAGAACAAACTCAAAATGAAACTTTCGAACATCATTCACAACAGCCCCCTGACCATCTCCAGTGGCATATTTTAGATCAACAGGATCAGTTTAAAGAAACAGGCTTTGCTCAACACCTTAATTCCGGTAAGGGAAACGAGTTTTCAAATGTATATATTTATATGCAGTTTTATTTTATGTTTAGTAGCTGATCATTCTGTTAAGGATTTAATTCTCATTGATCGATTTTTTTGGAGAGCTGGATAGCTGACTCGACCATTGAGATTATTGATGCTAGAATGCACATGGGAACTTGATGAGATATTCCATTTGACATTCACATTTATCATGGATATCCAATTAGCCTCCTTCGAATTACTATCATATGTACAAAATTATGTACTACTGATTTTTGTTACTGCCTTCAACCATTCTTCATCAAATATTATGAATATTCTATCACGTACTTCAATATTGAAAAATAATGCATCGTATTTACCGTTAGAAGAAACCTAGACAACCCTTAAAAATTCTTAATGTTGATCTGAAAACGATGCTTTTAATGTTCAAGCGCTTTGGTCGTCTTATTTCTGACAATGTGTTTATGCCTACAGATACAGCAATGGTAGTATCAGGCTCAGAAATTCAATTTAAAAACTCTGCGCTTGAGAACATCTCTTTGAACGATTTTCAACTCCTGAATGACCTAAACCCCGAACTGCTGAACAAATACGCGGATCTTTATCATGGGCAAACTTCGAGCGACTCCCTGGGGACCGAAGAATCTTTGCTCGCTGTACCTCCTAGTGTCGTCTTCAACCCTTCACCTCGCTCCTCTATTAGTAATGTTATTAAGTCTACGAGCTGTAATACGAGTGCATCCGATAAAATTTCTCCACTACCGACTGAGTTATCACATGACAGGTGCGGTTTTAAACCGCCATCTGATGACATCCACAATTTCAATCAAGTGTATGAACGATCATCGGCAACTCCCGATAGGAGCTCACCAAACCTACGGGGTATAGATCAATTCCAAAACTCTGAAAGCCGCCTTATTCAATCATCTCTCGCTAACGGTCCTCGGGTGACTACCTCCAATGCTTCCTGCTCCAATTCAGTGACCTCAAACACCAGCTTGTTTTCTTCAATTGTTACATCTGCGCAAATCAAGAGCGAGTTGGACCCTGATGATTGTGAGAATGAAATTCTAAGTACAATAGGCCATAGTTCCGGAGGAACTGTTACCATCGTAAAACGAAAGCCACAGCCTGCAACCAATCTGCCTGAACCGTTGGCAAGGCTGTTGTCGCCGTTGACGCCACCTCGTGAAGACGAGTGGACATGCGATGACCCAACCAAAAGTGGTCTGAAACTTTCTCCAGACAGCAGTCATTTGCCTGCGTGTTTTCCTCCCTCGGACGATGAAGAGATCACTGACGATTTCAATTGGGATAAATTGATTGATTGATGACAGCAGTTGAATTATTATTACATAGAGGTCAGCGTACAGTGCAAAATCATTTTCGTTCAAGTTTATAAATACTTTCCCTACCATCGGAATAGATCTGATAACCGTTTGATTTCGAGAAAAATTAGTTATACCTAATAACTTCTAAAACTATATTTCTAGCGGTACGTCATACCGAAATCAACAGACGGTTGTTTAGCAAATGGCAAATTTTCATCCTAATGTACGGTTAAAAGCAATTCAGCATGCTGAAGGCAATGTAGAGCCTTTAACTAATTTCGTTTCTATTAACAATTCGAAGCGGATTAATGCGAGCAGTATTCATTTGAAGTTAGAATTTGTTTTTAACCCGTTGGGCGGTTCGTCAAAAAGTCGGCAATCTCTCAGTCTTATATTAGATATTGAATTCTGTATGATCGTATGTAAATCGGCCTTCTCCACTTTGAAGGATCTTCCTGTCTTTGACTCGAGGTATTCACGTACCACACGTTAATTGTTCACAGTTTTCAAAGATGCACTTACTTCAAATAAGAACTCGTAAGGCACTTACGTTCGAAAGTATACTCGATAGTTTAATATAAATCCACTTAGAATCATATCAAAAGCTTGTATTGAAAGCGATTATTATCCAATAATTTGGATTCGAGTTACGACCCTCGTGTATCTATTAGAGTCCCAGATTATATTTTTCGATTGCGGATATCCTGAATACTGAAGGAAAAGGAGTGTTGGCGTTAATAACAGTTCAATAAATTTAATTTTCCAACTTCCACAAGGACACTGTGGTCATTATCGGCTCAAAGCTCGATTTAGGAGCTTTGAGTGATCTCAGCGGCTACGGCTGCTGCATGTAGTGCATGCTGCATGGGTTTTGTTGAACGGCTGAGAATTAAACCGCAAAGTCTGATAAAAACAAAACTCGATCAGCTACAAGTAATTCTTTCGATTATAACGGCTCGAAAGGTCTATCTTTAGCGTGCTAGTTAGTGAAAATGCTCATTTTCATCTAAATATTTTCCTTCCCGAACTGCGAACATCGTGAATTTTCTCGTGCATTATTTGGACACTTGTCAAGTTCTTGTGAAACCCAAAGCTTGGGAGTTTGACTTCAGGTGCAGTCGCGGTATTAGCGCTATCATGCCGAATGGCGTTCACCTCAGTGGCCTTATTAGAGTGCACTTAAATATCATAACAGTACATACAGTACCTAGTGCCTTGTTCCTGAACAGGATGAAGTAGCAGGTCAACAACAAAGGCTTTTATACAGCCGAAACAAGTAATGCTTATGAGTAAACGTTAAACCCGAAAACGGCTATGATTCTAATCCTCAAGATTCTGGGTGCTCGAATCCTCAAAATGTAGTCTAAACCTAACTAATCTACGGAGTCGCGTTCCACAGCACTGGAGCTAGCAGAAAGTTTCCAAGGCGACGAGTTCGGTCTCGAAGAGGCTCTCGTGTACCTAGAACCACTGTCACCGGATAGTAATCGGTCAACTGAAACAGAATCGTGAGGTACACTTTCCAACGCGCCTCCTACAATAACGCCTATTATTTCATAATTCTTAAGTTCAACAAATAACCATTCTAGCTTTAACGACATTATAGGACAGCATATGTAGCGGTTAATAAAAAAAAACAAATAACCAGAAAATGTTTATTACTTTCAAACCAGTTAAGAAGCAGACTGAAGGAGATGCTAAGAATCGGGCTGCAGGAGTGACAAGAATACAGAAACTTCTATAATCCTAATGAAGATTAAATGAGAATTGTAGGGAACAGGTTCTATTTGGAAATCCAAAACTTCAGCACAAATAACTAAGATAAGAACATTCGTGTGTCCCAATTTTGTGGAAGTCCTAGGATTGATTCTTACAAGATACAGAGGGATAGCATTGAGGCTGCGTGGGATACAGTGCCATCAGTTTGAACAAAAACATAGTTAACCACAAACTACGCCAACAGCTAGAATGTTTTAAGCACCAAGCTCAATTTTTGATACGAGACAAAAAGTACAGTAAAACGAGAGGGGCAAGAGCCAACACGAAGCACACGGAACTTTAACATGCGAGAGGGGGGGGACGCTGGCCAGTGGTTAGACATGGCCCAGCGAACGAGTCGAGACAAGTTAGGTGAAAAGCGATTCAAGTTCTCGTTCAAGCATCATTTCATGAATAATAAAGCAGTAAATATTTAGTAAGGTTTGGTGAAATTCACTATTCGTTGATCGTGCCTCAATAAAAACACGACATGTAGAAGGGCACGAGTAGTAATAAGGCGGCATGAATCAAGAAGGTTGGCGAACAGAATTGTTATTAAGAGTTAAGCAGGCTTGGCATCGTCGGGCATTCCAACACACCTAGACTATCTTTGGAATTAAACCCTTAACCTGCTTATAAACTTACACAAAACAATAACTAAACAAAATAAATAAACTCAAGTTTCAACGTAACAGCGGCAGGTCTGTAACTTCCATCAGAAAGACAGCGCAAGTTGAATTCCAGTGATCAAACTTAGCACCAGTTCCGGTCTAGGCCAGAAAAATCAATGCCCTGTTCCTGAAGCAAGCATTTCCCAGTATTTCTTCTCCGTTTGAAATGATGAAGCAGAAAGAATTCAAGCGCACAGAAGAGCAATAGGATTGAAGACCATCAGTGCGTTGGGAGTGGCGCTGCTTACCGAGCTGTTATTGAGTACTTCACGAGTTCAAATGCAAATCATCAACCTTAAATGCTATAAAACCATGCAAGTTCACAGAAGAAGTCGTAACTAGAAGTTCAAAATGCCACGAGTTCAACATAGACAAGCAATAGACAAGAAAAAGGGTGTAGTTCGTGACGGCTGATAAGCAACTTATTAAAAAAATTGAGGCACATACAACCACGAATGAAATTCGGAAGATTCATTTAAATGCAGTGTACTAAGAAGAGTTGTTAAATCGGTAGATTAATACATCCGCAAACAGATAATAAAGTACCTGACATTACAGTAATGTTAAGAGGGTATAGACTTACGAGGCTATTACAAAGTTTGCTCAGTCATTATGGGTATCAATCGCTCTTTTCAAATTTAACCGTTGAGCGTGATGCTTCTGAATCAGTTAACTTCGGAAAAAAGTACTCTGCCACTTTAGAGTGAAGATAACAAAGGCGGGTAACTTTCAATGTGAAGAGCAAATTCATGTTTAACGCAGAGCTCAATAACAAGAAACTACTTTATGACAGCATATTGAAAAATGCTCGAGTGAGGCTCCAGCTAGACATGTCGCATAAAATGCGACTTTAACAAGCAGCAGCATCAACAGCGATGATGAAAATAGATTGTTGTACTGAATTGTACGTGCGTTCAGGTTCCTGTTTATAATCGTTCTGGTATAGCTGGCGAAGCGCGCCGTGACATGGTTATCGCCAACAATAGTGAAAGGATAAATCCAAGGGATCTTGTACTCTACTGCGATTTCCATGCCACAGAACGAAACCCTGAGGTAGGTAATAATGATCCGTCAGTTATTTCTCTGGCTATCGCACGACAGACCGAGCAGCGCGCAGAGATAATATAATCTAGTATTCATAATAGATATACACTTCTCAACAATAAATTCTTTTCTGCTCTGACCCACGTGTACGCAGGTGATCGATAACACCAACACAACAACTATAAGGAAAGCTTGCGTGTGTAAGGTTGTCTACCAACGTACGCAGAAGGAATGACATGACCATCGACGAAACTCTACTTTTCAGCAACGGGATGATATCAGGCCAACAAGTGGTAGTTGTCAGAGACTGACAGAGGTAACGTTAGAAGCCATGAAGTCACAAGGAATGGTAGAAGAATGCGGTATTGGCGCTCAATCTTTCTTCGTAATGGAGACAACTTAATGAAACCAACAATTGACGATGGACAGAAAGCTGCAGCGAATCGAGAAAGACCTCGACTCGCATTTTCAATTCAGAGCGGCCAAGGCAACTATGAAGCGGTTTCAATAAATGAATTTGAAGCCAAGTGATAGAGCTTCCAAGAGCCGGACAAGTGCAGTCTATGATTGCATCGTTCATGCACAGATCCACAATTGCGATGACAGTTTCGGTAATAATTTTCGACATTTTCCACTGACTACCAAAAATAGAAGTCAGTATCGAGGGAAAATATCGGTTGAGGTTATCGTATGGCGGTAAAGGCAGCTCAGCGGACGTCAGAGGAACTGCAGAGCTCCCACTGTAACGGAGGAGGATGGAGGGTTGGATTGGTAGGCGTGCGGCAAAAACTGCTTGGTTGAGACAAGAGCAGAGTCCTTGCAGAGGCAGTTTTTGAAGAACTAACGAGTCTGGCCGACAGCGGTGTCCAGGCGGCAACGGTTAAGTCGGTTGAAGTCTTCCGGTAGTAAGGTTCTTGCGTGATATTTCATAAGATCGGGGTGATTCTTCTCAATGGATATTTTAGCTTATTCCATCTTCTCTAAGGTAGCAATCGTTAAAAATGCTACGCTCATAATTATCTCCAGTTAAAAAATTAACAAAAATTACTCCAACAATGTATCAAAAATAAACTTCGCTATAACTTTGCATATAAAAGAGCCGCGGTTCTCTCACTGCCGGCTAAGTTCCTGGCGAGGTTTGTACTAGAGAACCACCGCGTTACAAGCTTGAGCAGAATATAACCCTGAGTAGCAGCATCATTCCTGGATCACCAACACGGTAACAGTCTCCGTAACAGCTGCGCTCAACTTCAACCAACCATTCATAATTTAACACCATCATACTCACAGACTTTAAACCGTTTCGTCAATAGTTCAACAGCTTTTTGTACAACCCTAATAATAATGACTTCACTCTCTTCATTTGCGAACAATACATAGTTACGTCAAGTAGGTCTCAACTCTCATCTAACTAGCGAGGTGGGCCATAACGCGTCAACTTCGCGTTGAAGGAAGGCATCACTAGTTCAAACCTCTAAAAGCTTTGTACTATCGAGTCCACCCGCTGTAGCAACTCCAGTCAAGACCTACTACAATGAAAGCGGAAGAAAAGCCGGCAAACAAAACCTCACTTCATGCACAGTATCAGTTCTCAACGTTAAATTTTAATGGCACAGAATCGAGAAAATTTCAAGATAAGCAATATGTACTTTAAACACTGAATTAATTTCTTCACAGATGCATTTTTTCAAGACAAACTGAATCGAGACCTTTTAGGCTGATCAGCAAATCTCTACTACCACAACTGCAACGTAAATGAACGATGAAGTGATGGGATCAAATATACAAGTGCATCGGATTTGTTTGCACAAAGGCTTTACTTCCGCATCCCTAGCTCATCCTCCCGAAGTTTCAGCTCCTCCATCAGTTGTCTCAGGTCTCCGTGGCTGCAGCTTAGCATTGTCATTGCAGCGAGACTGCAGTAATGTACTAGGAATGAATCGTGGCACTGTTAGAGTACCACAAATGCACTGCAGTACAAGCTGGTACTGCACCATGGCTGCAGTCAGACACTGCAGCTTAGCAGTACTATTGCTGGGTCATCATGCCCCTGGGGGACCCACTTCTTCTGCCACCTCCCATCATGTAAGGAGGAGCAACTGATGACTGCACCATTGATCTGATTCGACGCTGGGCAGACTGAAAAACCATAGCAGTATTATTGCAAGAGCATTATGGAAATGTATGTGCATTTAGCCACATCATGTTCTCATTGAAAAAGAAAAGCAAGTATTTCGATCTAATAAAGTAAGTAGTCGTAATAAAGTAGTAAGCAAGTAAAATCAAGTATTTCGGTCAAATTCTGCGCTTATCTTTCCAAGCTACCTGTAATGAAACTTAGGATGGCACATTCAATTACCTGAACGGCATAGAATTGTCCCATGATTTGAACGGTGGTTTCCTCATCTTGCGTAGCGCCTAGCTGTGGCAACTTGATACTGGCACCGGTCTGGCGTTGAAGATCGCGTACGTTTTGGCCACCTTTTCCTATCAAACGGCCCACCTAATGCACAGAGCAAAGTTTTTTCAAAGTTACATTTGAAACTGTAGGCGTGGGCACACAAGCTCATGGACATTTATCATTTCTATATTTTACAGTTACAGCTCTCAGTTTACACCTAGTATCTATGTTTATCGACTAATTGACTATAGGGAAATCTTTAAAAACGTGCAACAAATTGTTACAACTACAAGTTAGGATTTGGGAGACAGATTTTCGAATCTAGTCTTTAAGAACTGTAGGATAGAACGCCATATTTCAGCGATTGATCTTACCTGGGATGAAGGAATCAGGACCTCGACCGTTAGCTTGACGTCGTCGTAGCCAAAAGCGTACTCTTCACGGATTTTCTCGAAAATTAAGTACTGGGCCTGGGAGGGAGGGGGGAAGTTCTTATTCTTAGCAATTTCAACGGAATTTGTAGAAATGTCCTTAACGACTACTGCCACAATCGAGGCTACTGCTCATCTCAAAAAAAGTGCTCAAAGTACGAACAAAAAGGAAACTGCAGCGGCAATCCTGGTCAAAAGAATTACTCATTTATCCACTTCAGCTCTCCGTCCGAAAATCTGCCTGGTGCGATAGTCATTCCTATTCCACGCATCGGGTCTCTTCTGAGAACATTAATGTGAACACAAATTTCCAGCACATTCGTTTAGTTATTCATTAAAAATGGCTGCATTTAACTTTTTTCCGGCATATTTCAAGGTTCATACCTTCCACTGCGCTTCGGGGGTGCCAACTACTGTGACTTTCCTCTCCGGCACGTCAGTCATGTTCATATTATCTTGTGGAGCGCTTTCTTGCGCCGCAATTTTGACGGAGGCTCCAGAGAAGCGAATGATGTTGCGGATGTGCGAACCTTTAGTGCCAATGATGGCACCAACTGAATAATTGGGAATATAAAGGAACGCTGTCTCTTCGCAGTTGTCAGAGTAGCTGCCGGAAGAGAAAGGCGCCGGGTACATTGGAGTGTACCCAAGGCTACTTCCATTACCGCTGCCACCGCCATACATGCCAGGTCCTCCATGCATAGGGCCCATGGAGTTCATGCCCCCTCTATCTCCTCGAGGACCTCCCGAGCCCACAGTTGACATCATGGCCATGGGATGAAGGCCAGGGAACATGGAGCTTTGAGGAGCAAAGCTTTGCAGATCGCTCTCATAACTCTGGCGAAGCTTGGCGCTTACGGCGTTTTCGGCCTTTGCAATATCGTCAATGGAACCCTGCAAGCCCACCAAACAATTGTCAAGTTGCACATTAAGCTCAGACACCCTACAGCTAGAAACGTTTCATGCATTCACGCTCAAGTACAAGTATTCCAGCAAAATAAGTTTCCGAATAAATTTAAAGCAAAATTTTACTCCAAATGTAACTTATAAAAAGTGGTCAGCCATTGGGTCTAAGGATTACTAGGTTGGAGGCAGAATGCCAACAGAGAAGTCAAAATTGAAATTGTAATGCAACTAATAACTACAAATCTCATTTCGAATATTTCCATGCAGAATGCGAGTTTGCAAAGCAAAAGGATATCTTCGGGATTGACTTCGTACAACGCAACTAATATCAATGCAGCTAAGTCGCTGTAACGATTTTGTCGAAATAAACTTGTGTAAGGTTGTGGGACACTTGTGTGACATTAGGTTGATCTAAATTCCAGATTAATTATTCAATGACCCATCATTTATATTTTGACAGCTTACTTTGATTGTGATGATGCGTTCCAAGTTAAATGAATTAATGTCATTAACGCTGGAAACTGTAATTTTGGTGTTAGTGTCCTCCATGATTTTCTTGATAGTCGCGCCTCCCTTCCCGATGATGCGGCCGATGAGATTGTTGTGAGCCAAGATCTTCAGCGAGACCTGTTTGAAAATTTTGCGTTCAAGAACTATTTTCAATTTCTTTGAGATTGCGCTTCGCTCATAAAGAATTTCGGAAAGTTGACAAGGTTGAGCAATTATGCTCAGAAAATAAACTCATCCGAGAAAAAGAAAACCTAATGGATGATCTTATCACAAAAAAATTTGTTAATGGCAACATTTCAACAAGTATTGCAAGCGGGCAATGGAAAGATATGTTGTCGTTTAACGAATTTATCGTCATTCTTCTTCAACTATTAATATCAATACTGTGAGAATAAAACTATTTAAACTTGCGTTCTAAGGAATGAAATAAGATATTCTTGTTCATAAAAATTCAATGAGCTAATAGAGCCGAATTGTCAGAATATAAATCAAGCATGCCTAATTAGTAATTGACAGGATTGATAAAATTTGCCTCTAATTATGCAAGGCTAAATTTATGAGAATGAAACTAGTGGGTATAGAAAACTATGGAACTCGGGCCTAGTCTCACCTCGCCACCCTTGTTGGTCTTGTCGCTCTCCTCCTGCATGACCTCCAAGATGCGCTTGCAGGCACTAGTGCAGTTCTCAGGGTTGCCGTAAATAGTGATGGCTTTTTCCAGAGACCCAGCGTTGTCCTTGCGGTGAACATCCACGCGAGCACGGCTCTGTCAAATTCAAATTAACAATAATTTTCACAATTTGTTTACCAATACTGCCGCACCGTTCAATAATTTAAAAGAGTTACTTTTTCAAACAAGTTAAAGTGTGTACAATGCCATATGTACAGGCATTTCAGAGCCGACCACTGGAGCGCCCTCAGAAATTTTCCACCACATGCTGAAAATTAGTTCACATATTCAAGAAAAGTGGGAGAAAATTTGTCGATTCGATTTCACCTTAATGCTCCAAACTTGTTCACAGTTTATGATCACTTAATCCAAGCAATGGCCACCGAGATCCAATTTGGTAGCCCATATCTACGTCTGAATACGAATGGATAATTTACTAATGGCAGGTACAGTGGCCTGATTCGTGAATTATATCCAGATCAATTATTATCACATAGTTCTAATTTCTTCATCGCACATCCAAAGCCGCTATTAAAAGCTTGCATGAAGGCCGGAAGTTAATAGCCGCTTATACATGACCGCATTTCTGTCCGTAGCAGCAAGAATCTTTGTTATATTTATTGGTCCTCCAAATACTATAACAATTTTCGCAAAGCATAAATGTTGCGTAGTGAAACGAGAGGTACCGTAATCATAAGATAAAAAATTTTGTTCATGCCTACCCTCGTCTCTGAATATGAAACAAATAGAACAATCTGCCTCTGGTGTATAACACATCTTGAGATAACCAGAGGACAGTGGTAATGTTAAATTTTAGAGTAACCCGTTGTAAGACGAGTAGCAGCCCTAATCGAAGTATATTTTACACACGAATTCTCACAAAAAAAATAGTTTCGGATCGTCATGCTTACTCTTCGTGAAATAAAGGGAACGCATTGTCGTTCGGTGTGGGCGTTTGTTAAAAAACAAAATCGGGATCTATGTACCTGTTGTGTGATGGCGCGGATGGTGGCGCCCTGCCGTCCAATGATGGCGCCAACCATCTCAGAGAGCACGAGGATCCTGAGAGGAAACTCAGCCGCATGTCTGTGCTGAATACCGCCCATACCACCGCCACCGGTCATAATGCCACCACGGCCTCCGCCCTGCTGGGATCGTGGCACCCTCGACCGTCTGTCCACCAGCCTATCCACTCTGATGGTGTGGCCGCCGTCCATGGAAGCACCGTTGAGACGCTGGGCTGCGTCACGCGCGCTTTCGGCCGTGGAGAAGGTCACGTGAACCACCTGCAGGATTTAGGTGTGAGCGAGACGCGTGGAAGACGTCATGTCAATCACAAGCTTGACAGAAGGCGAGTAGTTTTAACCTCAGCTGACTGGTAGTTTCAATCTAGAAGGTTCAATCATTTCTTGAAGGATACCTGTACCAATTATTAAAATCGAAAAGAGCGGTTATATAGGAGCCAGCATTTTCATCATCGATAAGCCAGCGCAGCCCACATAGGTAAGTCACGTTTTCTTCATAGACGAACCGTTTTGCACCCTCAAATGTTTTCAGTGAATCTTCTTTTCTCAACTTATGGATATTCGAGACCCTAATACAGGGAGAAACTGGAGGGCAAACGTTACAGTAGAAATAAAATTTGAAGCTACCTGTGATCCGGTAGTTATGAAATTAGGTTAATCGTACAAATGTATCCATATTAATTTAAAACAAGCACAGCTATAACCGCTCAAAACTAGGAAACAACAGCTTAAAAAGGACCATGGATCTGTTCACAAGACTGATAACAGATCTAAATATTATAATACGGCGGCCTAATTATAAATAAAATTTAGGAAAGGAAAGGATTTGGGAGGCAGAACTCAAAATCATACGCGCCTATTTTTCACTACACAGAACCTATTAGACTTTCCATCTAACTACCAGTTTTGCCCATTACTTTTACCTTATACTCAGATATTATCACTTGCTACTATGTAGCCCTGGCAAACTCCTAAATATCGCAGCTCCAACGTTCAAGACTACAAAGAATAATAAACTCTAGCCCATTCCTCACTGCATCGCTTCACGGTGTGTGAAGGGCTCAGCTATCATAACTTCAACCGACACAATTGTGAAAATTTTCGCTTCAAAAGTTTCAATGAATTCTCACCTGAGTTTGTCCGTCCCTGCTTTCGTATTTCTCGCTTTTAGTGACTTCCCCAACAGTCTGCAACAAAGATGTGAGCTCATCAGGGTGGGCGTTCACTGGTACGCCGCTCACCCTCACTCGCGTCTCCAACCTAAAAAGAAAATAATTTTAATTATACCCCTACAGATACTTTCGCACATTCAAATTTTATTGAAATCAAATAAATAAACTCGAGTCTAGCAAAATGAGACATAGGCGGAAATTAGCGCCCATGCACACCGACATTTTTCAATATTAGCGATGGTGACAGGACATAAATGCTCAACGAGCGCTTATAGGAACGAGCGAGCGCGCAAGCTTGCAATGGCGACGCATTTGTGGGATTGACATTTAGTTAATACTAACGCACCTGGCGGCGCCATATCCTCTAACGGGTGCTGGAAAATGGCGCCTAACGTTTTCAATACCTTTGAACAGCAACTGCCAACTTGCTTGTTTACAGTAAGCAATGCCGGTTTAATCTTGGTTAAAACACACATGCACAACGTAATTACCGTCAATTCAATTAGATGAAGAAAATTTCCATTTCAACGGACCGCACAGTTGTCTTGTTAAGTAACTCTGGGCATATTTCCGAAAGCAAGTTAATTGTTAATTAACAATAGCTAACCTCTAAATAGTCAGACGTGGTCTTACGAGATTTTTGGAGCAGAGTCTACGCGGCGTCTGATAGGAAGCACAGATGTACGGACACCTGCGCGCCTATTTTACACCTGAACTCTTTCCATTAGCTCTTCTCTATCGCCTGCCACATGCAACTGGGGCTTTTTCGAACCCAACCATCAGAGATCAAATGTATTTGTGCAGTCAAAAGCAGCGCAATGCGCAAGAAATTTGATTCTGTGTTACGTGTAAGTACTATGAACGAAAGTTTGAAACGGTCAATTAATACAACAATATGTATACAAACAACAAAGTAAACGATCTCGCACGCTTTAATTCAATCTTATAAAATAAATTCTTAATGTTGCTGTGATTTCGTAATATCTGGTCAAGAAACCTCTAAAAAATATCAATGCAAGCTAATTTAGTAGTGTAAGCTAAGTGGCAAGTGAGAATATTCAATTGCACGTTTCGAAAGCCTTGTAAAAGTTAATGCCGGATTATTTACACAAATACGCTGACAACTTTCAAAAAGCCGTAATAATAATTTGAAGGTGTATGAACGCCGGGGCACACGAGAGAGAGAACTTAAAAACCGGTAGCAGCAGAGAGGAAAGCGTCGAGGCTTCATGACGCGCCAGCGTCACTCTCGCGATCAATATAAGAGGCTCGCTGGCACACGCACCCTCGAGAAGGCTTCCAGTGCGCACGCACCAAGTCTACGTACAGAGCACGTGCAAAACTTACGGTCTGAATAATATAGAAAACGCTGCGTCGCCCACGCAATCGCGCACAGTTCATATACATTGAGTAATGAGGGTGTTTTACAACTGTTGTACGCTAGGAATCAAAACCGCTCATTAGGCGAATGAAGAAACCCACAACAGAAAGAAGAATTCGCTACACATTATACCTAGTCCGTGAAACAATGCTTGCTCAAGATTTTGCGCCTTACAGCCTTAAGAGAATACTTATTCTGAGTAAATCACCGATGAAAATTACAAGCATCTGGAAAGGCTAAAGCACTAACCGATACCTCTGCAGTCTGCACAGTACAACAACTCACACCGTAAGCAATGTATAAATGAATGGTATTCCAAAGGGAGAAGTAAATACTTCGCTTTGAGCAAAAAATAATTGATCACCAAGACCTGAACACTAGGATAGCCGACGGATCTCCAAGTTGATGGAAACCATGATGGAGCAACCACATCGAAATTCTATTTCAAAAATACTTTCGCCTCCGTTGTACGGCTTGGTCGCAAGGAGTCTATATGCGCCAGCACGTAAAGAGGAAACTTTCATGGCGGGTGAGGGTGACGCGAGGGACGAAAGCGAGGGGAAGCGCTCTAGTTAAACACGAGTGAACTGCAATGTGAGGTCATTGGGTACATTCTACGCTAACACGTATAGCATTACGGGGGAGACTTCTACGTTTTCCCCCGAAATGAGCTGCAGGTGCAAATATTTCTTAACTTACTGAGAAGAACTACAGTTATAGGTGTCATAAAATTCCATAAGCTTGCTGGCAAGTTCAATAGAAACAAATTTGACATATCCAACCACCAAAGCAAATGATATGAGAATTACCGAAGCGAGTCAACAGGTATTCATGTAAAAAGAATTATTCTCAAGTCTACCTATAGCAGCACGATGGATTGGCTGGCGGTGGGCATGCAACCGAAGTTAAGCAGTCCGCTCAACTTCACTTTTTCTACACGCAAGCTACGCCAATATAACGTCACCTTTCTGGGTTTTCTCCTGTACAAATGAACTATTTCGCTACAAGCACACGTCTGCCCTTTAGACAAGTGATGGAAAATCCACGTTTTGATCGGACAAGAACGACGTTTAGAAATTAGTTATGAACTGCTTTAAATTAGGTTGCGCTCACCCAAGGTTCAATTATCGACCATTATGATCAGACATTTATCATCTTCTTGAGGCCTAATCAGGATTGAAGATGCTTTTCACGCCGTTTGCTCTAACAAGCTTTTCGTGGCACATACATACTGCAAATCACATCAATTACCAAGTTGAATGCAATGGACCGATCGATAATTTCAAATATTTCTCAAGACCTTTACTGCTATATAATCACGAAAGGTACAAATAGGACCAGAAAGCGCAGCTTAGAAGGCAAGTTGTGGCTAGTCTCTAGCCACGTTAGAAGGCGTGCGACGCGATAGCGGCGTCGCCGGAAACAGATAAGCTGATATACTCCGGTTCTACAGTCACCAAACTGTGTTTCATGTGAACAAACACATGCGCTATAGTCAAGGAGGCTGCGACCCAAGCATATAAATCTCCGTGATCTAGATTGGTTGTTGCGTGGTGTAATGAGAGTTAATCATTATATTGAAAATTTTGTACGTGACTAACCCTCGTCTCTGAATATGAAACAAATGGAACATTCTGCCAATGGTGTATCACGGATCAAATCGGCCTTAAACAAATTAAAGTAGGACCTAAAAATTTTTATTTCAACGAATATCACCAACTTGTTATTAGGGAAGTTCCACTGTAAAACTACGTAACCCGTTATGTTGTTAAAAGTTACTAACGTTCTAGTCGAGGTTCAGAAAAATCTCGCCGGGGATTCTATAACTATAGATCTAGAATGAGCTTGGATCCAGCACAATAAAGATATTGCGGTCCTTACCTTTTTCTCCGACAGGCAAAAAGTCAAAGACAAGCAAGATGGTTAAAAATCAAGAATAAAATTAACTTAGGAAACTCAAATAGCCCGTTACGCGCACGAGTGAATCGTGCGATCGTACCATTTTATAACAAGTAATATGAAAGAACTAGTTTGAATAAGAGACAGACGTTCCAGGAGGGAAGTAATCAGTGAGAAGCGTGATGAGATCACAGGCTTCACAAAGCGGTCGAGAAGTTTCCTGTTCGACTACAACGGACCGGAAGCTGAGCGCAGGCACGACTGAGCTCTGACTAAAGCTCCATAGAAATAAATGTTATCAGTGATCACATGCGGGACAAGGCCGAGGCTAAACACAGAACTGACAGCCCAAGCGAGTCTTAACCGGATACAGCGAACTAATTCGTCAGAAACTAGATCAAAAGAAATGGGGCTTATTTACAGCAAGAATCGCAATCGACAATAGAAGGAGGGGAAATCTTATCAAGATTGAAAATTTTACCAAGGGTCAACATAAAAGCTAGGGGGTCAATATCCTTGCCGTTGAACTCTACATTGGAAATCAAGTGTACATTAGTCCAGCCTAGCTCTTGCCACAATCTTCCATTTTTATTAAACTTGCAGTAAACTAGATTCTTGTGAAAGCCTGTTTCCCTAATCTAGATTGAAACATCACTAAAACTAAATATCGCATTTATATATATGGTGCCATAGCGCACCACATGTATAGAGAGGGCTACCGAGACAAAGTTTAACCCCTAAAATGGCAGGGCTCGCAACCGGTCGCACGCTTCTCCATATTAGTATCATGGGTTGAGCGCGTTTCTTACTTCCACGTTTCAAACAATAATTCTGAAGCAAACCTCTGACAAAAACCCTCAAACCTCAGACTCAAATAATAATAAAAAAAGGGAACTGGCTCCAAGTCTTCGGAATCAATGAATCTGCCAAACCGTCTATCCCCTCAAATTCATGCGCGAAAATTTGGAACGATTGAAGCTTTGAAGGTTTAATGATTCGAAAATAGTTTGACTAAAGGTCAGCTACAGTGCAACCTCAAGGAGAAGAAAACAAGGATTTAGGCGAGATAGCGTGCCAAAAACCAAACAGGCCTCAAAAAATGAACGCGGATTGAAGGATATGCAAGATGGCGGTCGCCTCGTGAGGGTAGCCAGTGGCGAAGTGCACGCTGCAAGGGGCGGAGCAAGATGCATCTCGCATGCATCCCGTCCGCGTTTCTCAAGCATCTAGCGTTTTCTTAGGTGGTCCATCACATGGACCAAGTAGCGTCCGTCAGACGCTGAGCCATTGTTATCAAACGCATGAAATTAACAACTTTCTTGCCTACTCCGGATCAACTACACACAAAATTGTAGAGATGAACGTCATGAATGAAAAAGATAACAATTCGACAGGGGAACTACGGTAATACCACAAGTCAACAGGAAGAAACCTCAACGTGGTGGCAAATTTAGGGACAGATTCTCGCTAGCAATAGACGTGTGCTCACTTTGGAAAATTAGTTCTTCAGGATAGAAACTGGCTATCAAACAGCACAAGCATCTAGCATCACTATTCCCACTCAAGTTCAACCGAGACTATGTTGTAATCGGGTAAATGACTCACGGAGTTTAGCAATCGGTGATTTTCTCGTAAAGCTATGGAGAGCTAGGCTCAGCATTCGGTAATTGAGACGAATTAGATTATTTAGGCAGCAGTATCAACACTTGCATTAATTTTTCTAGATACGAATGACCGGCCAAGTAATCCTAATGGACAAATCTCTGGCAACTGGATACTGGCCAATATAAAAACAAAAGCTTAGCTCT